CTTCCCTTCTTCTTCTTCCCTTCTTCTTCTTCTTCTTCTCGCCCCCCCCCAACCCTGCCTGCCATCCCTCACACCATTTCCTTTTTTTTTTTTTTCTGTGTCTTGTGCCACGTGGGGCCGCATTTTGGACCTTCCCCCGCGACGGCCATATCCCCCAACTTTGTCTCGCCCAATCTTTCTTCCTGCCATACTCTGCCCTTCTCCTTCTTCTTCCTCCTCCTCTTCTTCCTCCTCCTCCTCCTCCTCTTCTTCTTCTTCTTCCACATAAACACCTGCAAGGTCTGTGACATACCAGCATTGACATCCCCCAGACCCCCCGCTGACATCCCTCCGCCGGGCCACCCGGGGACCAGCACAGAAATAGAACGAATTCATGCATTCTGATTTTTCTTTCTTCTTTGTCCAGAATCTAGAAGCCTGTGTTGCTCTCCTAAAACATAAATCGAGCGAAGCAATCACTTCAAAAAATAAGATGTAATAAACTCAGTTCACAGACATACAGCCGCGGGCTAGGGTCGTCACTTTTGGTCGAGGGCCAGAAACAAGGACCAAAAGTCGCATCCTAAGCCCAAGAAATGTCTGAGAGAGGGCCTAGGGTCAAGAGGTATCAATGCCCGAGTCAAAAACAACGGCCAGAGGCCCAACACAAGTTGGTTGACTCTTGGAAAATCAAGAGTCAGACCCCGCACAGGAAAGGCAGGCCCAAAGTCAAAGTCAACCCCGTAGTACGCCTTGGCCATAGATCAGATGCACATCAATGGTTGTCTGCAGGTATCCAGAAGATTCCAGTCCCGACTGGGAATTGGTGCCGCTTCTTCCAGGTTCCATCCAGGCCGTCAAGATCTGGCGAATCTCAAGTGTCAACATGGTCCAAGGGGATACTGGTCCATGCCAGTCAACACTGGTTAACGCTACATAAGACCAGTCGGACCACTGGGGAAGGCATTCTGCCTAGCGCTGGCTCGATGCCAGTGCTGCTACACAACGCTGCTGGTGTGATGCTGGCACCAGATACTGCTGGAGGGCGCCAGGTTAGAGGGAGATTATGTTGGCGCGGCCATAGCCGCCATAGCTGTAGACTAGGCGATGGGAATTGGCGAGTAGGAGGAGGAGCAGGGCTGTGAGACTGACGGGAGATGAGGGGAAGCTTACCTGGACTTACCTGGCATCGAGACGTGTGATCTGCTGCTTGTCTTTACAAAGGTGAGGAAGTGCTTGACCATCCTCCATATCTTATTGCTGACGTGGAGGGAGGATGGGCACACTGTAATTATCTGCACAGTGCTTATGTCAGAGGACGTCAGAGGGAACAGCCCAAAGTGGAAGTGGGAGATAGGGGAGAAGCCCGAAGTGGAAGTGGGAGAGAGAGACACATGCATGTATTATTGATTACTATTGGGTCTCTCCTCCTCCTCTTCTCCGTCTTTCTCCTCCTCTTTCTCTTCCACTCATGCTCTTCTTTAATGAGACAATGCTTCTGGATGCAATGCTTCTGGATGCAATGCTTCTGGATTGACCATATAATTGAGACATGGACTTGTAATCGACTTCGGAGACTTCATGCTGTGTGCTGGGTTGAAACTTATGTTGCATTGATGACTGGCTTCTCAACGAGACTGGGTTCATTACAAAGAGATGAAGTGTTGTTTTCTAGTGCCTTTCTTTTGATAACTTGGGATACACTCGATCCTCCCATTGAACATACATAATTTTGATCATAGGCTACGATCGATTAGCATTCAAATTTCAAACTATTTATCATTCCATCACACCATTTTGATGCTACAGATACGATTTTCCCTTGATTTTCAAGTTCTAATGTAAACAGGGTGGGCCTCCGCTTTCATGTCACAACCAACCACTTACCCACCGTTGTCAATCGCAACAGCAAAAACTATGAAGATGGGAAACAAAGAACGGCCAGGGGAGTGATCTGCCATTCTTGGCTTACATTCTATTCTTTACCAGGTGCTCTTCGTAGACCGGTTGAGAAGATGTGGCATACTGAACAGCCACACGGGCCTGCAGGGCCCGACCAGGGTTTTCAGCCTAAAAGCCTGAAAACAAGGGCCTACAGGCCCTGTGTCTGAAAGCCTGAAAACAAGGGCCTACAGGCCCTATGTCGTTTCAGCCTAAAACAGGGCCCTCCAGGCCCTGAGTCTTTTTAGCCTGAAACAGAGGGCCATTTTCAGGCCCTCATAAGATCAACCTGCCCTGAAACTTAGGCACCAGACCAGGGTTTTAGCACAGGCCATTTTTGGCCTGTTTTCAAGACAACCCTTGTTTGAACTTCAACGCCAGGGTCTGGCACGTGTTGGCATTGGCAAGAGCAGCCTCCTGGACGGGCCCGCCCTACAGGCTGCGGACAGTCACGAGGTAGTTCCTAGGAACTTCCCAGGCACTTCACGTACAGGAGGCAGGAGGCAGTCTTCAGGATTCGGCAGCAGCACTCTGGAGGAGCGCTGCAGTAGTAGCAGTAGAGTTAGCAGTAGTCTTCAGCACTGGGCGCTATTAGGAGCTAGAGTAGTAGTGGAGAGAGAGAGATGGTTGACGGAGGCCAGGGAGACTTACCTGTGGCGCCATAGCTCCAGCTTCGTCTTCGATGGACCTGCAACAAGGCGCCACCTTCACAGGTCAGTACTGGACTGAGAGAGAGAGAGAGAGAGGGAGAGAGAGAGAGAGAGAGAGAGAGAGAGAGAGAGAGAGAGAGAG